TTTTCTACGAGTCTTCATATAAACAACCTATTTTCACGGTTGTATATGGTATTTGTCATCTTATGACCATGGGTTTTCCGGGGAACACACTTGGATAATAGATGAGGCTGTTTCATGCATAGTTCTTCTTCAAATGTCTTTCCTACTAAGAATGTATGATGGATGTGGAGATGAAGCGACACTTTGTTTATGAGCTATTTCTTGTACTTCTTTCATTTAACTGTCTTCTCATTTATCCTACATTTGGTGTTTTCGAGCTTATTGATACTTTTATATTATCAAACCTAAATCAAAAATAGTTGAATGGTATCGAAATCAGTCAGTTTATCGGAAATGTCGAATGTCTGTTAATTTTTGACCTCATTAAAGTCGAACGGTCTGCATTTGGATATTTTTATTACTGTTTTTATCAGTTCTTGAAGCATTGAGTCGTCTCAGATTTTATTATGAGTTCGAATAGGTAAACAAAGATAATTAAAAATGTAAATATGAGTACGATGCGACAACCCAACGAATTTTCCGTTATCTATAGTAAAACGTTATGCAGACTGATGTAATATATCTTAGGCAACACCGAGCTTTAATTAACAACCGCACATAAATAATGATGTTATAACCTAACCTAGTTGACAGTTGATATTATAATATATAGTCAAGAACAGATGGTGGTCCCTTGAAACATTACTCTTTGATATGCATGTATTTATACTGCTTATAGTAAGTAAAATGGAAAATTTTCTTTAATCTCTTTTATAATATCTTTAATTTTTACCTTTTCCATATAGTCTGTAGACTTGGATATTGAACAAATAAACGACAAATCAAGATAAGCTTCAATGATAAAAGGAATAGATTACTGAACCTAAATAGTTTAAACGTCTGATTAGTAACTGCTTAACCTGCTTTCAAACATTGTTTCGGCTTGTTGACTTTACCAGGTAAAGCAGTTTATTTTTGCATGTCGAACAGCCTTCTATTTATATTCATTTATCGATAGCACAACCCTTGATGTGTTCACTACATAAGCCAATATCGTGTGCTTAAGATCTAACAAGCTATACAACACATTATGTAGTAGATGTCAAGCTAAATTAATATAGAACCACATATTTATTTTAGAGTTTCACTAATATCATCTTCATTATCACAATCAGTAATATGGAACGCGATTAGCAGTAATTCCTGTGTCCTCCATTCTGTTTCGTACCTTAAGTGTTACCAAGCGAAAATTCGGTCACAGTCGATCTAACAAAAGGTAAACACTGAGCTGCTTAATAAAAGTGACTAAAAGGTAACTATTCAAAAATTAGTTCATATTATGATGCCTTGAAGGATTTTAAACTGATAAAAAAAATCTAACTGAATGCTTTCAGTGTTTTTATTATGCCAGAATACAGCGGAAAAGATATAACACAGTATTTCTGTGCTTGAATGTTATGCTATTTATAAAACTTACAAACAAACACTTGAAAATCAGCTGAACAACCAATAAGACATTAACAAGGCCGATATGTCATCAAAAACTGCATTTGTATCACAAATCAGTGGTGAAACTACCCAACAAGGAGGAATTTGTGCATTGTTGTGTCAAACCAGTACAAATCTATGTAAAACCTACTCGTAAAATCGAGCACTTTTCAAAACTTTGTTTACCCGATACTATATAATATTTTCTTACTTGATTTAGCACGTAGTAATGCAGTACTATTTACTCGAGGAGATTATGATCACTTGATCACTTAACACGTGACTTTATATGCTTAGCGTTCCTCTGAATTTAGTGTCTGTAGCAGTAGAATTCAACATACTTTCGAAAAAGTTAAAATAGACATAGAGGACTAGGTCGAACAATTTTTATCTTGTCAATAAGTCTTCATAATACGTGTTAGGATACCCACTTCTCGGATGACAGACCTCTGTTATTGTTTGATTCATTAAATAGTCGTTCTTGGTTCCTGTGAACTCAGTAGCAGCAAAGATTTCCATAATTATCAGGAGCGATTTAAAGTAGTTGTTGCAACAAGGTAGGAGAAGAAAACTTAGGAAGTAATTCGTACTGAGATCTGAATAAAGTCGTCATGAAATCACTAGAACTAGGACGGATTGGTAGAACTAATATTTCGATTATTTTTCATGGAGAAGAAATATGCATAAACTGAAGTTTGAGTTGTTTATGAAGTTTTAGACTTGAAACATTCCACTGTGGATCATGAAGTATAATTCAATGACGTAGCCAGTAATTAATATGTATTTACCGTGAAGGAATGAATTTAAGTTACATTTAACTTTCTTATAGCTTCAACTGATTAAGTACACAGTCAGTAACCTGAGAGTTACGGGATTAAAGCTCATTATAAATACATATTTTCCCAATTTCAGTCAGTATTCCGGTCTTTACAGGGCAAATAACACGCCCACGGAGCTAAACGTTAGCAACTGACTTTGAAAGGAAAACATTTCACCTCAGGTATTAGCAGATCAATGCTCACGCCAACTACTAATGGAGTAGGTAACACACATAAATTAGTGTATTATTGCAAAATAGTTTTCGTCGTGGATTGAAATCAGTTTTAGAACCACCTAGACCTGGTAGTAGCGGTAAGCTGTCTCGTTCTAGTTTGCAACTTCTCAACTGGACCCATCTACGCTTTCGAAACACATTGGCCTAAAGAACATCAGTTCTTGCCGTGAGCGCCTGGACATTAAGCCATTGGATTGGATCACAATCATCCGCATTGTCCTAATTCTCACACCCAACTTGGTGAATTTCACAAGTCAGCACCTCACAAAACTCCGTCTCACAGAACATCGATAATGAGTACATTCTACATCTGAGGAACTGCAAACCAGCAAAAAACCAACGATTCAGCACTCATAGTTTTTCAGTGGTTCTCAAAATGATTTCCACTGCCTACCAAAAATACTTTTATACCAGTCAATCTTCACAAACTACCGACTGAATTAACCTATTATTGATTTTCATCTGGGCTTACCTCCATACATTCATACACGGAGAATCGTTTAGTATGTTAGTTTCATTTATCAGACAGTACCTGTTTAATATTCATCAGTATATTTACTTCCATTCCAATAACTTAGGATATTTATGTATTAAAGTCAGCTGGTTAATTCATCCAAAGAGGTTCGTTTTATATTCTGCATAATTCAGTAAATTCAAATGAAGCGTTATGTACATCACTAGCTAGAATTCTCATAGTTATTAGGAGCAGAATGATTAACTAATTGCAAGCGATTTCTTTAAGGCTTCTCAATGCATATTGCCACTCCTACAAACGATATTTCAGTATAGTCGTACATCCGTTAGAAATATTCAATTGAACACAAGGTTTACTATGGTTAAGAAGAATAAATGCTTAGTGATTTATTCACTATGAATTACAGACGGATGAACAAAAAACGGAATGAACTGAATCTAAAAGTCAGTCAAATGGAGGATTATTTGGATTCACATTCAATGACTTACATAGCCTTAAAAATTAGTAACATAACAGTGCTTTGAAAGTTTTTCAAAGCTATGGATTATGCGGACATATAAAAAGTCTATAATAATAAGTCTATTGATAGAATATCTCAGAATAATGCCCATACACTTGTATGATTTTGAGAGAAGTAATCAGTTTCAAAAGTTCTCATTTTCTCAAACCTTACTAAATGTTACAAACAAAAATAACAAAAGAGAGGAATATGAAATGCAAACTAATAAAACCTTGAATATTACTTCTAGACTGGTAGATATGATTGTACTCTTGATAGAAATATATTCAATGTGCCTCAGTGATACTATCAAAATCAGATAATTTCATTCAGAATAAACTTAATTTGAATTTTAAAAATATATCTAGTCAGCAAATTACTATAGCAATAACTGTCCTTTATTATTTACAGTAGGATGCTAGCCTTCTAAACAAGTTTCATTGGAATATCAGGATATGTTAGTGATTCACTGTCATCATCAAGACGAAGTCTAAACTAAGTAGTCGGGAAAAAGAAAAACATCATTTGTTTCACTACTTTACTTAGCATACTTATAGAGTCAGCTACTTTTTGTAGACTCATAAGTTAAATAACTAGAAGGTATGCACCTGAAAATGAGCATTACTGAAACAATAATCTACACAAATGAAATGTTTCTGATTGCCTTTACTTTTGAAAAAAAGCATCACAACACTAAAGTGTTCAATAAAACCACTAACTCACTACACTGTGTGTCTTAATTTACCGTCAAGACTAAATTCTGTAGTACTCAATACCTAGCTACCCTTGTGTGGCAGAACACAAAGTCGACAATTAACTTGCCCTGTTAAACACTGAAGGGTACAGTTGAAGCTTAATAATCAGAAAAATAGGTAATCTTTGCCTGCATCCATTTTGAATGTTTTCTATGAGATGGAGTGTTATAATACTGAGAGATTTATAAAAAGCTACATTACCAAAAATCTGCATTCAGTACCTTTTAAAAAGAAGTGGCTGGATGGAATAGCACCCGATGTATATGTGATATCAAAATCAACTAGTAAATGGTAAAAACTGAACCCACATCAATATAAGCTGCCCATAATAAATCGCTCACATACGAAATAATTATTTTACCATTTGAGAAGCCATAAAAGTGTAGTCAGGTTAGTCACCAATAACTGCTAACGTTTATTTTAACCATTACTCTGTTAGGATAAAAAGCATCAAATGTTGTATTAGAAACTGTTTTTTTTAATAGTTTAGCTGTTGAAAGTTCCAGTTTGTTAAATACTTGGTACAAACAGTTCCTTTTACAAGTCAGCCAGTCATGTGATATGAACATTTGTCAGTGACTACATCATAGTAATTAACATCACAGTCGAATCAGAACTTCTCAAACAGTAAACAAAGAAAACAAAGAGCAAGAAAAACAGTCACTAATTCCTCACCCTTCATTTCACACAACTCTTCTTTGTGTTACAATACTAATTAGGAAGACCATTATATACCAAAACAACACTCACTTTATTCACGTTGTACAAAGGCACGTTATGCTCAGCCAGGTAACGAACAATAGACAAGTGCTTTGATTTACGCCAATATGCATTAAACCGTTTCCATTCTAAGGGAAAAAAATAAAGATATTAGTGTAAAAACGTATGTGACGACTAAAAGAAATGAAGACAAGAAATAAGTGATTGACAAAACTGCTGCTGCTGATGCAACTGCCATTACCACCACTAATACTAGTACTACTAATAATAATGATACAGTTAGATGTCGAACTGAATAGTTACCTGGGAAGTCCTTACTTTTGACACTGTAGGAACGGAAAGAGTTCTTGAATATCCAAGGAAATCCCAGAGAAAATCAGGGGAAATTCACTCACTATCATTACTCAACATGCTAGAAGATCGGACCTGATGCTGGGTAAAAAAGAACAGAACTGAGGGCGAATTTCAGGTGGAGATTGATTTAAAACATGCAGATTGACAATTTGATCCTCGAAAGGTTTAACTTTAAAAGTAAGTTGCTAGTCACTTCTCATCAATGTAACGCGAGCTCAATGAACTAAGAGAACCAAATGAAATTCTTTTTTTTTCACTATGATAACAAATAATTAGGAGAAGGAAGTCATATTTCAAGTACAGAGAACAAAATTCTTCTCGATACTGTGACACTGATGATGTGACAGTGAAGACGCTACGATTAAAAATGACACTAGAATATGATTAAATAGATACAATTCAATAGCGAAATATAGGTCAGTGAAATTGGTGGAAGATAGCACCAATTTCATGGTGGTCAACAGTACTGCCTGGCTTTCTGAACCTATATGCAGTGGAGTAAAACCATAACCCTCTAACTGAAAGTCGAGTTGTTCACAGCTCCAATACACCAACTAACCTCCACAAATTCGTATATGTTCACAAGTTCAAACTCGCTAGATAGTCAAAGGCAATATCAGTCATACTTCAGCACATGTATTTCCATGTAGTGACCTTTTTAAACTAGCCCGATTAAGCTGCGAGATTTAAATTCATGGATGGTCTGGGCTGACTGAAAGGTCAGTTTTAATTAAATAACTTCAGGCCACAAAGTAATTGAATGAGTAGTGTACTTTTTCAACCCCTTAAGGACATGAAAATTAGGATTTCAAAAATAATGATAACTCATGCACATCATTTCTTAATCTACATGTTGCGTTTTAGCAGCGATATTCTTCTGTTACACTCTGGAGCAAATAAACACTCAGTTATAACTAATAAGACGAAATTCATACTGAAGTTATCGATAACTCGAAATATTTTTTTGCTGACAGAACATAAAATGTCATACATTTGCTTTCCTTGACAAATTTGAACAATGAAAGAACAAAGACATTCGTAGAATAAAAGATGTTCATTTTATTTCACGGCCTTTCATCAACTGCAAACATCCCACAATTGAAATGAGGTATTAGTGGTAATAAAAGCATGACACTAAATATGTAGGAATAATTGAAGATTTGAAATGCAAGATTAAAAATAAACTAGTCAGTTAAAAAACCACAGGATTAGTAATCACAAATCTCAGTCACAATCAATGGCAATTTATATCTTAATCGGTAGAAAATTTTGGAGCTGCGGAGTGTGGAGAGAACAAGCAGACAGGAGTGTAAAAGAAGGAGCTGTTAAAGAGCTAGTAGGTTACGTCATTACATAGAAAACCTGAAGATGCATTCAATGATTAACAATCAACAAATAATTAATGAAAAGATGATGCAATCAAAAAGGGAAGACTATATGTGCATACATATGCAAAACAGTTTTTGCATATAAAATTTTCTCTGACAATAACAAGAAGGTCACCTATTAAAATGAAAAAGTGGAAACATAGAATCCGTTGTAAATTTGTCAATATTCACTTCCACATGAATATATGTCCTCAGCAAACTGAGTCTTCTAATAATTTCATCACTACTCACTAACACTAAATTTACATTTCTGCATGAGTATGACTGAAATTTAAGATAGTATTTTTAGACTTCCAATTTCGCCTAAGTATGAGCATCGTTAGTTATCTATTCCGTTAACAACTCAAAACAGATTGATAGTGAAAAGCTCTTTTCTTGTCTGAAGTTTTTGGTACTTAAAGCTCTATTTTCGACAATTTCGATGCAGATGTTATCCTAAATACAGATATTTCTGTTGATATTATTCATAGGAAGAAAGTTGGAAAGATAGAATATATCAAACAAACTTTTCTCATGAAAAGCTGATTCGAACTGATCTAAAAATTTATCACTTTAAACTTACAGTGTTGACAGTTCTAAGTGAACAGGATCGGTTTTGACCTAATGCAAAAACTTGCATATGATGCTGATAAGTTGATACCAAATTTAATCCTGGAATAAGGCTAACGTTTTCAGTAGTAAAGATAACGGACAAATATCCAAACTTTTACTATCCCCAGGTAAATTTCGTTGGTGAGCATTATCATAGGCTAAAATAGCTTTCAGCTAATGTTCACTTTTTACAGAAAAATTCTACGAAATCACTGTTTTAGCTAAAATGTTTATTATCGCATACTATGATCAGAGAATAGTTCAGTGAAACAAACCTCTTACCTCATCTAGCTCTTGAAAGTCAAAATCACCGTATTGGGTAAATAAATGACTAACCAATTCCAGGTTTCCACATATGATGGCGTTGATAAGTGACTGGCAATTTTCTGTCTGCATGGAAAATAAAGCAAAAAAACAGCCGTGTATAGCAACGGAAAATTACAAGTATCTTAACAACAACTGATACCCGTTGCACTAGAGATGGCTATCGTGCCGTAGGGGCTTAGTGGATAAGGCTTTGGGGTTTAAAGTGGAGTACTCCGCTCAAGTCTCAGCAGGAGCAACATCACTCAATGAGGTCCAGGTGTATCCACCTGACGATTCCTAGAAAGGACAAAAGGCTCGTACTGAATTTCTCCGTTAGTCGCTAATATGAATATGACATCATGAATATTCGTCAGTATCGAGGTATCCTTATATGAGCCCATCTGCCAACAGCAAAGGTCAATGAATTCTGCCCTATATTATTATTATTATTATATTATTAGTCCCTTGGGTTCCTAGTGGAACATAGGGCTTCAGTTGCACGCCTCCAGTGACCTCTGTTCTCTGAGATCTTTTGAACCTGGTCCCACGACAGCCCACAACCTCTCATTTCCTGCTCGCACGACCTCCTCCATGTCACCCTTGCCTCGGACGTTCAACTCGTCGCTTCCCATGGGGATTCCACTCGAGCAACTGGCCTGAAGCGTGATGTCCTCAGTCGGCCTTCTCAGTGCATGGCCAATCCATCTCCACTCCCTCCTGCATATTTGCTGTGTGATAGGTTCTTGGTTGGTTCGTTGACAGGCCAGAGTTCCTTGTTGCTTATTTTTTCTGGCCATCTGATCTCCAGTAGCGAGCGTAAGCAGTTGTTGATGAATGTCTGTAGTTTATTGGAAATCCCTCTCGTGACGCGCCAAGTCTCTCAACCATACAAGAGCACTGACTTGACGTTGGTGTTGAAAATCCGGATCTTGTTCCGCATGCTGAGTGGAGTGCAGAAGATCTCCACACTGGTTTCAGGCTAATGAACGCCTGTCTTGCTTTTCCGATTCTGACTTTGACGTCCTCGTCCGTCCCGCCACCTGTAGTTGAAACAGTGCTTCCTAGATAAGTGAAGGAGGTTACTTCCTTCAAGTTTCTCCCGTTGACGGTGATTGGAGTTTGTTGTTGTTGTTGATGGTGGTGGTGCGGTATCTTCATCACCTCTGTCTTCTCTATATTCACCTGAAGTCCCGTCTTAGCTGCCTCTTCTATCAACTTGTTAGTTTTTGCCTGCAGATCTTCAAGTTTGTGTGACATTAGGCACAAGTCATCGGCGAAATCCAAGTCTTCTAGGTTCTTTTCCGCAGTCCAGCGTATCCCCCTCTTCTCGCTGCCTACTGTTTGCTGCATGATCCAGTCCACCACAATAAGGAATATCATGGGGGATAGTAGGCAACCTTGTTTCACTCCTGTCTTCACTTCAAAAGCATCACTGGGCTTCCCATTGTGAATTACTTGGCCGGCATGTGGCATCTTCATATAGTTGTTGAATGAGGCGGATAAAGGTTTGCGGTACTCCGTAGTATTGAAGCAGTTTCCAAATTACTTCTCGGTCGACGCTGTCAAAGGCCTTCTCAAAGTCGATGAAGTTGAGGTAGAGAGCTGATTGCCATTCTATGCTCTGTTCTATGATGATGCGTAGAGTGGCGTTGCAATTTGGTCTGCACATGATTTGGACTTCCTGAAGCCTGCCTGTTCCGGTCGCAGTTTTGAATCTAGTGCATCCTTAAGCCTCTCCAGGATGATGCGGCTTAATATTTTACTTGGGGTGGACAGGAGAGTGATTCCGCGCCAGTTCTTGCAAGCACTCAGGTCTCCCTTCTTCGGCAGTTTGACAAGGTAACCCTTCTTCCAATCACTAGCCAGGTACCTTCTCTTCCTTCCACACCTTCTGCAATAGTGGTGTGAGCATGTCCGCTGTTGTCTCTGCATCTGTTCTCAGTGCTTCTGGCGGTATTCCATCTGGTCCTGCTGCTTTCCCACACTTCAGTAGCTTTATGGCGTTCAGGACTTCCATTTTCGTTGGGGGGTTTATGTTCACTTGTAATTCAGCGGCTGCAGGTGGTATTTCTGGACGAAGTGCAGGTGGTGGTCGATTCAAGAGCTTCTTGAAGTGGTCGGCCCATCGTTTCCTCTGTTTCTCTTCTTTCGTAATTAAATTTCCTTCTTCATCTTTTATTGGTTTCATCTGTGTTGGTCTCTTCCCTGATAGCAACCTGGTTATTTGATACAATGCCCTATATAGCAACGCGAAATTACAAGTATAACAACAACAACGGTATAATTTCATTTATTTGGTGTGTTATCGTTGACTGTCTACAACAGGCGTATCCGGCACAATGGAATTCACTTCTTGAGTAATTTTCAACTCATTCTTTTTGCTATGTTCTGCCTGAACATAATTCAGTTTCCAAACTCCTTGTTCAAACTTGTTTTGATTAATATTCACTGCTCATCAGCTTCTCGTTTGTTTATTTTAATAACAACTCATCTATTGACACTATTTGTGTTGCTATGCATGCTTGACAAACCGTTTTTAGCTAACAAATGTAAAAAAATGTATAAATTTACGATTGTACAGCTTTGAAAATAAAATCGCCGAAAAGAGACTCTTTTCTGAAATACTTGTTCTTCTTACAATGGAATTCCAGCAAAACAATAATACACTGACATGAACTCAGTTAACACGATTCGGTCTAATCACTCCCGAGATGATGGAGAATATTTGTAGCTCAGAAGCATGACTTTGATGGTGTTTCGTTCTCTGAACTACATGGTTTAATCATGAAATACAGAGAATGCCAGGGAATTTTTAGAAGCTTGTTGTCCAGCTCAGTCAGCAGCTAACAGATACGCTAATATTGACCTGATCTAACAACCAATTAGAAACCACAAAAAGTTTAAAGTTCACGTCAGCAGGACAACTAGCCTAAATAAATATGGATCCAATGAAAAGACTTTGGTAGAAACAGTTAATCACACATAAGGCCACCAGGACAAGCTACTAAGCCACTTGTAGAAAAAATCTTATAGTTCACGTCATTCTGAAGTTTCTGCTGATGATGCTGTTTAATGTTAATGAAAGCTTCGCGATTAAATCATCCAGCATCCATCAAAATAACCAGTTCTGTTCAGTTAGGCAGTTGTCGTGGAATCCTAGAGTTGTACATTATGGTCGTCATAGTTCAAGAGAGTTGATATAGACAGTAGCAAAAGTGTTTCTACATTTAGAGCGAGTATTTCAGTAAGAGAGTCGATAGATAGATACGTTGATGAGAAATAAAGAGTGTAAGGTATGAAAAGTGTACGAGTTAAGCTCAGCTGGTATAATCAAAACTTGTATAAATAAAAAAAGTTTAACTAGCGTGACCTATTCATGGGTAAGTTTCAGAAGGCAGAAAGACCAATGGTTGATTATTTCTTCATGCAGAAATTTCATTTCTTTCAACTGACTACTACAGTCCCACTATGTGGTGGAAGAGAATCTAGAGGTGTTTTCTCAGTTTTAGTGTCAGCGAGTTGCTGAACGATCACTAGTGAAATTATTTTTCACCCCATGAACTAGTTGTTTTGATGTGTTTAAAATATCTGAAGCATGTCTATCCAGTGTTAATAATCCTACATATACACAAAAATTTCTACCTACTGAGTACTAGACCTATTGAATGTATCTGAATTTGACTTCATATAAAATATTCTACAAAATAACAGCATTGGCTTAAGTGTCTATGATAACAGAAGTACTGATTAAGGCACAGATACTTTCAGATGTGCATCTGAAATGAAACAAGAAAAATATGCCAAAACCCATTATTTGCCAACGACAAATGTAATAGGAGTGAAAATGTTTTTTTAGAAAAATGGTGATAGCAATATTAAGGATGAATTGTGCCTCGCAGTGGAATCCACAACACGCGTTTTGCTCTATTAGAGACTTGTAAGCTCAATATACTTCCATCTCAGTGGGCAGTAGTGTTCCCACTCAGATTTAAACCCACCTGCCAACTATCGCTTCAAACACCTCGGCATTATCCCCTAGGCAACTGAGTTATATTAACCACTCCTTTTGCGGTAGCTAGGGTTGAATATTAAGCACTGTTGTATCCTGGTTTGGACAAAATTGATTCGCCTCAGTTGGCATATGAGCTCATGTGCGGACAGCTCACTATAGTCAGTTGCTTCATTTTAACATCAAGGATGGATACTTACAAGTTCAAACACTTCATATACAGTGATAATAATGCTAGTGGTGATAATAGAAATGAAACTTACCTCAGCTTCTTCGATAACATCAGGTTCATTTGGTGTTTCAAATTTATGCAAATCATAATCCAATGGTTGATTAAAATTATTATTATTTTTTTCCTTGGAGGCCATAATTCGTTCAAAACTAGGCTATATATTCATCCAATTATTTTGTATTATCTATTTTTTTTCTCCTTCTTTTTCTTCTGACAATCCGTCAAATGAATGTTTTTGTGTCACATATTAGTTTGAGCATGATAAAATAAGTGGGAAGGCTTAGCCATAGTCATATAACTTTTAATGATAAATAAATGTCAGTCTTTCTTCTGACTCCTCCAATCTACCAATTTTTATTTTGACGTTGAATACTTGAAATCTTCAACTACGGTTGAAAAATTAGAATGGAAACAATTAATCAAGGTGAGTGTGAAAAGAATAGAAAATTGAATGTAAGAGAAAACCACCTGCTATTTTCCTGACAGAAAAGGCTGTACAAAAAGGATGAATTGTAAATAAAATAGGAAATGGTTGAAAAGACTGTTTCGAAGGCTAAATATTTCCAGGTAGTCAGTAGAATATTTCAATAGTATGGACTGCATTTATTCTTACTCATTATCTAAGCATGTTGGTAATGTTCTTTAACTTGAGAATCCACTAGTATACAAAACAACCAATAATGAAGTATAAATATCCAAACCAAGTTAGGATTTAATGGTTTGGAAAAATTTGGGCATCGAGTAAATAATACTCATTATTTTAGTATTTTTTATTTTCCAATTAGTGTAAAACGAAATAAATTTGTTTCAACTGACGTTTCGCTATTTAGTGCTAATAACTTTATCAAAGTTATAGTCAACCAGAATTTACAATATCCAAGCTTATATATAATAACTTGACAAATGTTATTCCCTGTGAATGATGCTGTGTTGTCAGAATTGTAGAATAAAGATATTGTCCATATGTAATGTGTTGTGTTTGAAGAGATTATGAACAGCAGATTGAGATTTGCATGCACATATGTGTTGATAATTTTTATCGTATGTATGTTGGGTTGTGACCAGGTTAAACTACGTTTTACTCCTTCGTTCCTATTTAGACAATTATGATTCCACTTAATTTGAAGAAATTCTTTATAATTTCTGAAGCTTTTCTGTATAATTCCAATATTGTCAAAGTTGACCTTGTGACCTGAAATTATAGCGTGTAGAGCTATGGCTGAAGTGTTTCCAAGTTTTTTCAATCCCACTGGATTACTCGGCTGTTGGATGTGAGCTCTTCGGTGTTCATTGCTCCTAATTTTTACTTCACGGAAAGTTTATCCTATGTACATCGCATCACAGTCTGAACATTTTATTATGTAAAAGCAATTAGATTGTGAATCTAGGGGGATCTCATCCTTCAAATGAACTAAGGTGCTCTACAATGTGTTCGGTGTTCTGTAGAATACTCTGATAATGTATTTGTTGAGCAATCTAATTTCATCCAATGTCTGTGATCCGTAAGGGATAACTATTGTTCTGTTAGCACACCGCACCACGCTGTTACATTAATAACCTTTATGGTCGTAAAAATTCCTCTAAGCAATATAATCTGCTGAATACCTTATTGACTTAAGCACTTAATGAGCTACCACTTGTTGACTTAAATGCTTACATTATACACAGATAAATCATTGATTTGGAGATCTCTAGTTTAGTTGCTTGTAGATGAACTGGTACTATTCCATTAACTCCTAGTTCAATCACCAAAATGTACTTTTATTTCATTACGGAAAATGTACCCTACATTTATTCAACACTGCAAGATAAAGTTCACAAAGAGAATAGAGTTCTTGAGCATAAAGTCGTATCGTGACAGAAATTCCAACCATGAAAATGTTGACCTCAGCCATGAATTAAATCTTTCTTATTTGATGAAAAGCTACTATCTCCGATTAAATACTTTGAAAAGTGTATTCCTCGAAAATAAACAAAGTCACAGTGTAATAATCACTAATTATCAAACATACACTGTGAATTCATGTTTGTTCTACTGAACAGAATGCCTACGAAAATGTGAATCACCTTTATTTATGAGTAGCTATCTCAAAGGTTGAAATTAAGTGCTTCAGTTGAAGGGTTAGAGAAATTATGTATACGTTCGAATATTCTGAGCAATAACTTTGATCTTTTTGCCTTTAAACTGATTAAAGAGCTAGAAAGAGGGACAAAATGAATGTAAGTCTTAACTTATGAAGGTCATATTGTTAAATTAAAGGTCTCAGTGATGTAGATAAAAAGCAACTTCATCTAATAAATTCATTTCAGCAGCTATGAGAGAAGAAAAGAGAAAAAGTGCTCCAGTTCATGTCACACAACGCAGAAGAACAAAACCAATCAACAAAAGTAAGATATTAGGTTGAAATTCATCATGGGCTGACATCAGTTGGAGGAATATTGGAAATCTGGGAGCACTGGATAGCTGCTTCGTCCTAGTATGGGGTTGCTCAACAGTGCACACCCATGACCCCTTCAGGCATCAAACCCAGACCCTTTAGGTTCCGTAGCCAGCACGTTATCAGTGAGTCACAGGGTCAGAATTCGATGATCCACACTTCCTACTTCTTTCAGTTAACGATATAGCGTGACCTACATCCAGTGTGACCGCTGAGTAACTATCCTCATTTTCGACTTCGTTGACTACACTGGTCACCACTTCTCATTGAAACTTCGGAAACCACCTCTCGACGCTAGTCACCAATGAGCGCTCGATTAATTCTGTATGGAGGTTCCTCCAACAGACGTCAGTTCATGGTGAATTCCAACCTGAAATCAATTAATAAACCCCCATAAACCTCTAAAAAAGTAAGATATCATAAAATGAAGGATCTATGAGAAAGGATAAGAAATTAAGGAAAATAGGCAAGTTATTCACTATGTTGAGAAAGACATTTTTTACCAGTGGCTACACCTCTAGCCATGCTACCATGGTTCCTAGTGCTCCGCAAAATAATGAGGTATCTATTAACCAGCCAACACTTTAGTGCATGATTAAGACTAACAGTTAGTGACCGTTAGTCTTTGTAATTTAAACGAGATACTCAAGTGAATAATATTACTTTCCACTAGATCTCTTCAGCATTACTTTGGCGACTGTTAAAAAAATCGTGATCCATGAAGCTTGAATTCAATGCAAACACGTAACAAAAATTCACACTAGACACTCTTAATGGCTGTCAAAAGAAATGTTAAGATTCGCGTAATAACTACAAAACGACCAATCATTCTTGCTTATACAAAAGACAACCTTCTGAGTGTTGCCCTTCTGGAGAAAGCTACACAAAGCCTACTACTAGGCAACTAAACAAACGTTCTGTTAAACGCTTCCTTTTGGTAAAAGAAGAAGAAAAGTGAGGTTGATACAGAGTCCAATTCGATCACATTCGTTATATAGCGGTTGTGTAATACATAATCTCAAAGTGTTCAGAATAACAGATCGGCTTCCACGAAAGCATTTTACACATTGCTATGGCTAAAATAGTTAATGACTTCAGTCTCTGAGTTTAAACGACTTTTCTCTCCACCTTGAACTCAGAACAGCCAATAAACCGTTTCAGCCTTTCAACTTTTATAACTCTTTCGCGTTATTCGCTCCTTTCATCTACCTATCATGTTTGTTGAGAATTCTCCTATCCACTGACTTCATCCTTTAGTACTAGGCAGGTTTGGCCGTAATGATTTTTGAATGCTTGAAGTACAATATTGTTTTCTTTATTTTTGTTATCACTAGTGTAGACACTAATATTATTATCACCTTGAAAGTTACTGGTTCCACATTTCATTTCTTTGCTACCGAGGACTCAAAACTCACTACGATTGCTGAAGTGTATTATATGTACACAAGGTAATGCATTTTACAGTGAAGCCTGGGGATCTAAGTGAAAAGGAAATTATTTGCTTATATGTTTTACTTTGGTATTTCTAAACTTTCTGTAACTTCAATCTACATCAGCTGACATTTTATGTTGGATAATGTAAAGTCTTTTAACGGAAATGGTATTTTGTTTTCCGCTGTATGAGAGAAGAAGAGATTTGGATTGTATTCGGATGTGTCTGTAAACGTAATAGTTTAAAAGTAAATATATGCTTTCTGAACAAATAACTGAGTCTGTGAACAATATATACACAATGGTCAGTTATACACCAGTCATTAAATACATTTATAATATTACGTAAACTTTAAATCTTCCACCATGATTTTTTCACATCAATGTGAAGCTTTTTGTTCAGTGCTGCAGTGGTAGGGATTATCGTTGTACATTTCTGCTGTCAAATATCCTTGAACATATGACAGAGTACATCAACAACCAGCCAGTGTTACAACATGAATTATTCCCTTGCGCGTAACTAATTTTCAAAGACACGAAGTATAAAACCTAGTAGTTCACAAGCGAAATCTCTCACCTCGTTACTTTAAGACAGATATTGGTAATTCACTATTTAGTAAGCACATAGGTAAAAGTTAATATGCAGACTTACTTCTAGAAATCACGAAGTGATTCTTTTACGAGAGCCTGCTGGCATAGTTTTCATCCCGAAGTATATCTTCGTCGGATTTACTTAATCTTTTCATCACTAGAGATGGTTTATAACTTGGCGATTCACGAATCAATTACTATCAGCCATTGATCCATTAATGTTTGCCTACAAACAAAGCACTAAGCGCACTATGATGAGAAGATATGTACCTGTGATAATCCTAGCCATCTGATAAGGGTGATTTATAGTACATTCAAATGTTTAAAAATGCTACGGCTGCTGTTCCACTATATATTTTCTGAAGTTTACAAAATGACGGCAATCTCGATGATACCAAAGCGGAAGTCGAAATCTCCATCTTTAATAACCTAAACTGCCAGTGGGAAAAATAATCCTAGAATAACTACAACTTCACTGCAATATAAAGATTTAGTACTAAAATGATGCCTATAACGAATTAAGATATACGTAGATAAGAAGAGAACCTAATAATGACATAGATTTTTCTGAAATGAATTTTCCAGGAGACCTAATTTCAAAGAGGTCATTAAATCTCCATTCATAGAACAACAGAATGTACTTTGAACTGTACATCTTATAGTAGGCAGTGACAGC